AAATAAAACCAAAACCGACAAGTTAATATTAATATTAATAATTTCACCAATAACAAAATATAAAATACTATTAGTAATCAAACAATGTCTGCCGAAGGGACCTACAAATATGCTGAAGAAGTTTCTGGAATTGTTTTTGAAGGGGAAGAAACAGTGAAGGAGATTCAGTTTGGGGTGAAACATGCTGAGATGTCGAAGAAGCACAACACTGGAAATTACGAGCAGGTCGTCTACATGAACATCACCTCGAAGGAGGGTAACTGTTACTGCGTTGAATTGAGTGCATCTGGTTACAGGGTCGGTCAGTCTGCTGTCGTATGTGTGTTGTGCATGTTTTTTATTTATTATTATAAAATTTATTTATATGATCATGATATGATGTGACTTCTGTGTGTGTGTCTATGTTTGTCTTTGTGTGTGTCTGTGTGTGTGACTGTGTGTATTGTATGGTATTTAAGGGATTTTATACTTATCACATCTTACTGTTTTAGGCTTTTAAAATTAACCTGATAATATGATAATATATTGATATTCTTAATGCTTTTATAATCTACTTATAATAATTTTTGTTGTAGATTGTGGGCCGACAGTATGACAACATCTCAGGCGAAGACTCCACAAAGTATTACGAGACAATTTATGCTTTTTTAGATGATGTCAGTCCTCTCTATCGGGTCTGTTTTAGCGATGCGCTGGCCGAGAAATTGAAAAAACTTGAGGACATGCAGAAAGACAACAGTGTAATAAAATTTTATTTTTTCTTTTTCAAAATAATTAATATTTTAAAACAATAAGTAATTCAATTTGGTAAATAGTAGACGTTCATAAAAGTTTGGTGAAAATTTTAACCATTCATTCATTCATTCATTCATTCATTCATTCATCTATTCATTCATTTATTTACTTATTTATTTATTTATTCATTCACTTATTTATTTATTCATTCATCCATTTTTTCTCTCATTTAGGATGCATATGATGATAACTTTGGACTATAGATAGGAACATTCAACATCGATTTGACAACAATGTGTGTGTGTGTGTGTGTGTGTGTGTGTGTGTGTGTGTGTGTGTGTGTGTGTGTGTGTGTGTCTGTATGTGTGTGTGCATGTGTGTGTATGCATATAATATTTATAATAATATAATAATATTTTTTGTTATTTATACAAATATACATTCTTACACTGAATCTTAAAATAAAAATTCCATTTTTCATTGAATTTCAATTATGAGACCATCTATTAATATTTATTTTGCTTCATTCTAAGCCATAACGTCGAAGATGATGACGTTAATGATACATAGACAGATATAGATAGATAGATAGATAGATAGATAGATAGATAGATAGATAGATAGATAGATAGATAGATAGATAGATAGATAGATAGATAGATAGATAGATAGATAGATAGATAGATAGATAGATAGATAGATAGATAGATATTTTCATTTAATTTTTTAGCCGTTTTTTTGTTTGTGAGACGTTTGGACGCTAGTTTCTCGGGTTTTTAAAAAAAACTCTGGTCGCAACTTTAATTAGTAAAAAATTCAATTACTTTGAGGCTTTTTTTTTGTTCTTTTTTACATTTCATGCCATTCAGCGTTTTGTAACGAAATGCCGCCTAGTTATCATGTTAAGACCATATCTGTTTTCATTGTGTAAACGTAAATTTTTATAAAATGAAGTTTATTTAAAATTAACTCTATAACTAAACTCTCTGTTTAGGAGTTTGTTGAGTGGTCTGAATGATCATTTTAGTTGATTTTTAGATTATTTGGTGGACATACGTGTGTGTGTGCATGTCTTTACTTTCTTGCCCTTATTTCATCACAACTATTGATTTCAATTACGTGATTGATAAATGAAAAATACATCAGCATTTGTTCGGTTTGATAGATGTTTCTCAATGTAATTTGCAGTGCAAGGATCTACTCTCATTCGTTTGTTTAAATTAACAAGAAAAAGAAAAATAGAGAGAGAGAGAGAGAAAGAAAAAGGAGGCAAAAGATTGATTGAAAAAAACTAGAAAGTAAGAGACAAAAATGAGATGCCACATGTCTGTTGCTATCATTGTTAGTTGGTGCTATTTTTGTTACAAAATTTACTCCAATATATCATGAAAAACTTTTTGTAATAAGAATTAAGATAAATTTATCGTTTCAAAGTTGGTTTCCGAGTTTAAATTGAGTTTAAATATGAATGTAATATTTACGGAAGCCAGTATGCAATTTTTGATGATGACGAAGATGATGACGTAGATGATGACGCCTTCTATGACGGTGAGATGATAACGTTGCTATAGCAGAGGCTAAAGCTGGAATGTGCTGTCAATTAAATTATACATATTTCTTGACGTTTGCAATTTCCGTTTCAAAGATTTCCAAAAATTTCTTAAGAAAGAAATTACAATAGTTAATCTATTTCTAAATATGGACTGTAGGTGGAGAAAATATATGCATGCATGCATACGTTAGTATGTATTTATGTTTGTATGTATGTATGTGTGTGTGTGAGCGTGTGTACGTGCGCGCGTGTGTGTTTGCTCGCATACCATTTTGTGATTTTTTAAACAGAAGTGATAGAGCGGAATGTTTGCCTAGGACATCATTCCTAATGCAATGCAGTTATTTATTTTTATCCATCAATTTAGCAGCCTCTATGGCGGTACATAATTAACTGCTGACCACCTAAAAGACGTGGAAATGTGTGTTTGTGTGTGTGTTTGTGTGTGTGCGTGCGTGTGTGTGTGTGTGTTGTGTGAAGATTATGATGGTCATTATCGTTAAACCTGGAGTTTGGAATTGAATGGAATTTTAAATTTCTTTAAATGAACTAAGCTAATAGATTTTTATTTAGGCAACGTTTGAATGGCCAGCTTTGCCTAATTTCCTGTTTAAATTTAACAAAACTTTCTCTTTTCAATCTTCTCAAAAGTTTTTTCCCGATCATTTGAATACAAAAAACTTAATTCGCTATTCATTTTCGAATATATTGTTAAACTTTACAAATGATAAAAAAAATTATCAACGGACGTAAACTTTCTTTGCCAAAAAATTATTAATCTTTCTGCTACTGAGTCGACCTATGAGTTCAACAAATGAAGAAAAAACTAAATAAGAAGCGAGAAAGTAAATAATATGTAGAAAGAGAGAGAGAGAGAGAGAGAGAGAGAGAGAGAGAGAGAGAGAGAGAATGGCAAGGAGTGCTAGTGCGAAAAGATGTCTCGTTGTCTTCTTCCATATAAAGTTGACCGCCTTTATAAAACCAACCTTCATTCGGTTTCTCCTGCAATTGAAAATACTTTCATCGTTTAGTTTTTACAACAGCCAATGAAAGATTCATTTGCCGTAGTGCTGCATTGTTAGCAATTTTTCTCTACCCTGACTCGTATGGTCTATTACGATATATCAAATTGATTTGTATCATTTAGTTGTATCATTGTTTAGTTTATTAGAATATATCACATTGAGTTCTATCATTAAGTTGTATCATTGTATCTTGGTCGCAAGATTTCTTTCATTAATTATCATTATAATCCTATTACAACTATCTATTATAGTTGATACAGCCGTAATTGAATAATACTTACTTAGTGTTTGAATTCTAAGTGGCTACTTATTTATAAATCATATTTTCATTCAATAAGAACGAAATTGATTATTATGAATTAATTTAATGGTGAGAAATAAAAATTATTTGCGCCAGGAAACCTCATCTAACTGGAACATTAACAGTGAAATTAGACATTGTTACTAGAGATCACTTTATCTGCTTGATTATTTCCATATATATATATATATAAATATATTTATTCAAAACGCATTATTATGTTTTATTAAATTTATATATATCAAAAATAACAATAAACAAATTAATATATTGTTATAAATACATACATATAAAAAGTTATTAATAAACTGAAATTAAAATTAATTTCGCGAAAAATCGCGTCCTATTGCATTCCATCGAACGTTTGTACTCAAATTGAAGGATCGTCCAGAGGTTTGACTTTGTAAATTTCCATAAACTTTATCAATAATTTTGTTATTATTATTATTATTATTTGAAGTTTTAGTAGTAATAGAAGTAGCGGTTATGTCGTAACAGCAGTAGTCATTGTAGTAGTAGTAATAGTTGTAGTAGAAGTGGTGGTGGTAGTAGCAGCAGTAGTAGCAGCAGCAGTAGCAGTAGTAATAGTAGTAGTGTGTTTGTTGGTTAAGTGAGTATATGATTAAATGAGTAATATAGTTGTAATTGACTGATTGAGTGAATGATTGATTAGTTGATTGAATGAGTGAGTGAATGGTTGATTGATTGGCTTGTTTTCACGAACCCCAGGCAAGCGCAGATTGTTTTAGTGACGTGTGATATGACGTTTTATGACGTCAGTGATTGAGATCAGATAATGAAGTCGGTCCCCTCATAACGGCGTTCTTTATCAACTTACTTTTTGATGACGTCACTAATTCTGTTTATGGCGCGTTGTTTGCGTTCGTCGTTGTTGTTTTGCTAATGTTTCTATTATTATCATTTATTCATTGTTGTTATTATTTAGTGTTATTATTACTATTGTGTTCATGTGTTTGTGTGTGTTTGTGTAAATTCTAGAGTGGCTATATAGAATAGGAAAGAAAAAAACATACAAACAGACAGACAGGGAGGGAGGGAGAAAGAAAGAGAGAGAGAGAGAGAGAGAGAGAGAGAGAGAGAGAGAGAAAGAGAGCGAAAAGGGAAGGAATTTTTTTTCAAACTATTAATAATTGTTTATGAATTATAGTTTCTTATTTTTCAATTTATGTAGCGTGCAATGATGAAGAAGATGGCGACGTTGATGTTTGTGCTGTTGTTCGTCTGCTCCTGTTTAACTTCGTCAGTTGACTCGAGGCAGTATTTGAAAGCAGAGGGTTGGAACTGTTATTATTATTTTTATAATTATTATTATTCTTTTTATAATTATCATTCATTCATTAATTCATTCATTTATTCATTCATTCATTCTTTCTTTCTCTCCTTCAACCGTTCCTCCGTTACATCACCGTCATAACATCATTATATCGAGACTCTGGATAAAATGAGGAATGTTGTTTATTGTTGTTTGCTCTCTTGTATGTGTGTGTGTGTATGTATGTGTGTGAGTGTATGTATGTATGTATGTATGTATGTATGTATGTATGTATGTATGTATGTATGTATGTATGTATGTATGTATGTGTTTGTATTTATGTGTGTGTGTGTGTGTGTGTGTGTGTGTGTGTGTGTGTGTGTGTTTATGTATATGGTATATGGAGGCAAGCAACAACAACGATATCTTTATATCTTTAGTGATGTATTTATTTAATGCCATAACTTGCGTTTATATATTACTTTTTGAGGACATCGTAAACACAAACATTCAAAATTTGATACGGCGGGAATGAAAGATGAGCGATTGAATGAATGAATGAATAATGAATGAATGAATGAATGAAAGAATGAATGAACGAGTGAATGAACGAGTGAATGAACGAGTGAATGAATGAATGAAGAACGAAAGAACGGATGAACGAACGTATGACTGAAAGAATGGATGAACGATAGACCGACAGACCTACAATCGAACGAACCAGTGAATGAACGATTGAATGAACGACAGAATGAAAAAATGAATGTTGTTTGAAAAACAAAAAATGAATGAAAAGTGAGGAGAAAGACAAAAATAATATTTTTGATTGTACA